GAACGCAGTCTCAGACCTCTCAAATTAGTTGAAGCTTTTTTTGCATGAGCCTGGATTTGTTGAAGAGTCCTTCTGTATAAATGCAGTCAAAATGGGATCCTTTCCGTTACAGGGACGCTTCATTGAACCTCACAAGGGTTGCAAACCTTTCCACGAATCGTTTCAATACGTTCCGTCATATTCATGGTGTCGACAGAAAACGTGACTACGCTGTTGTGACAAAGGATCAGAAGGCCATGAAAAGAAGGAGGGATCACGTGAGTCAACATTTGTTTTTGTATTTCCAATTCAGTGAAAGTCGTGTAGTGTTCCGACGCTGAAAGACACATCTGCGGCAATCATATGGGCGGAGGCACATATTTATTGATGGGCGCGAACACGTAGCTATTGAGCTTTTGTCATTGGAGTGCCCTTCCTTTTCATTTACAAGACGAGGGGTACGTCTGTGAGGAACCCACCGTTGAGTAGTCTCCGCCCATCTACCGTTCACGGGATGCTTCCTTGAGTTCGAAATTGCTCCTGGTGATTTATTAAAGATGCTAAATTTTGTTTTTCTGTCACGGTACTCTTCACCTTTTCTAGTCATCCTATGTAGAGCAAAAGAGCCTTCTACTATTACTTTGAGTAGGAACAAGCCTTCACAGAAAGACCATGTTTGAGTTCCTCGGAAAAAAAGCGATCTTGGGAGGCGTGGGGGGAGAGGTGTTAATGAGTAACTTCTGTTCAAGTCGCAGCGTATCTCGCTTCTCCCACTCCCATAACCTTACGCCCCTACGGCTGAGTTCATACTTCGCTATGACTCGCATCGACGCGCTATAATAGTAATAGCGCCAATGCTACAGACGGGAACGCGGTCAGGAAAGTTATCGATTGGCACTGTCTGCTAGCGCTTTGAGAAGACTACAGGGGAATAGGAGGGTAAGGTACAGTATGATTAGACAGCGCGTACCTTCCTATTCTCCTATATTCCCAAAACACTGGCGGCTTGCGGCGATCTGTGCATGTCTACGGCTGCGTTCCCGTCTGTAGCATTGGAATTATACTGGAATTTCAGCGCGTCATTGAGAGGTGAACGCAGCCTAATGAATGCTG